GAATACAAAGTCCGCAAAGAAAAAGAAAGGAAGCCGAAACTGGTGAAAAAGACATGAAAAGACCGAAGTTCGACGGTCTAAAAAGCGAAGTTACGGATAACGGGGATCCAAGAAGACAGAAAACCAAATTACTTAAAAGGGGAAGAAAACTGCAAAGATCCAGCACATGAGGTGCCCAACAGAATGAGCGGCAGCGCCTATTGGGAAATCAACGTACAAGAAACTCAGTTAACGAGATGGCCTTGTAATGACGCTATGAAGCCGCGGTAGAGAAGCTTGAATTTACGTAGCAAACGACTGATGGATGATGGGCCAGCACATCCGGTAAAGTTCGAGAAGAACCAAGGGAAGTTTCCAAAGGCGAATCTTGGACCAAGCAAGCAGTCGATGTCAAAAGTTCTGCAGCCCCAGAGGAAATCCAGATGAATTAGAGACAAAGCTCAGAAGGGCAAAATACTAGGGGAGGAACCAGGGAATCAACGGCCTACTGAGAGAAGAATTTTTCACACAACTACTATCCTTTCTTGGCAGGAATTTCTTCATAGGAGAATGTAGGAGTTTCTCCCTGAAACAAAAGATGAGTGAAATCCATTTTCTTTAAGTATTCAATTTTAGTCTATAGCTAAGTACAACAGTTGCCTTTTACGTTGAATTTTGCCTCAGGATAGGGCATCTTAGATCCTATCCATAAAGAAGCTTTTAAATTTCGTTATGCATTTATCTGAAGGTGTTTTTAGTTTCTATATGGTTCTAACGTGATACTGTGAGTTTAGTCTGAGATTGCTTTGATAAAATTCTGGCAACTCTCGATTTTGTGGAATATATTTAAGAAATTTCTGTACCTTGTGATGTAAAATGCAAACTAAGTCATCTTTTGAAGGTAAGACAACTTAAAATGCTTTATAAAGTATGCTTGTTAGCTGCGTTGCAAAAGTAAAGTGTCCTGTTAACTGTTTTGTAAAAGTTAAGTTTTTGATGTTGTGAATGATAAATGTAAAGTACCAGCTTGCAAGCGGTAATAAGTTAAATCAAAGTAAAAGCTAGAGTATTGAATTTAAGTAGCTAAATGCGTCTCTCCAGCCAAAATTGAAGTTTTAATGAAATTTAAGCTTAGCACATTAGACACAGTCAAATAAGGTATTAGTTGAGGTCTAAAGCATCTAAGTTATCATTTTGTAAGATTTAAGTTAAGAGGTGGTTTGAGGAAAACTTTGTACGTTTCCAAACGCGCTTGTATACATTACAATGCTGGAGAGCAGAGGTGAGAAATTGATTGAGGAAAAGATGTAAAGTGTTAGAAAGGTGTTTTGCAAAGGGCTAGTTGAAATGTCTAAATATCTAAAGATGAGTTTGTTAAAATATTTTTCCTTCAAGATTCCTGGAAAGATATTAGATTTAAAATAAAATAGTGATGACATGAAGGATATTAGATTCAAAATAAAATAGTGATGACATGAAGTTCAGTCCTTGAAATCTGAATCTTCTATAAAAAATTATATTCAGTTCTCGACTTTTAAACTCATGTTTGTAAGAGTTGACTCATGTTGTTGATTTAGAATTTAGAAACTTAGTTCGTTAGTTACCCATGGTTCCAAGCGATTTCAGTTTTTTGTGTAGTTCCTCATCCTACAGCAAGGTCTTTCAAACTTGTTTTAAAAATTTTTTCTTCGTGACCCAGTAAAAGTATTTATGGCTTATTACTAGATTAAACAAATTTTAATGTTCAAATAATTTTCCACTATTGTGAAAGCAACAAAAATACATACAATAATGTATAACAATAAAAAAATTTCATTGTGTGAAGTATGATGCTATTTCTCCTTGACTAGAAATTTCAGATCTACAAAAAAAAAAAAAAAAAAAAAAAAAAAAAAAAAAAAAACTTTAAACTTAGTTCGACATCTAATTAATTTCTGTATATAGTTTTAAAAAAGCAAGTGCTGAGAAAGCAAGCTGTTTCACGCTTATAAGTTGCACCAACATACAGAGGAGCTTCATTGCTTTCTAGGCTAAAAATGACGACATGAATGCTAAAAACATGATGTCGCCACAAGAGCATTAAAATAGGAACTAAACTAAGAAAAAATTAATAAGCGATAATGCGTCATCTATAAATACTTTAAATTACTAAATTTCGAAATCATCTATTAATGAACTATAATATACAAGTAATTTCATGTTACTGTAATATGTTAGTAATTTTGTTATCTGCTACCCGGAATTTTGCTTTCGCGATCGGCTCACAATTGAACATTTGGGAAACGCTGATCTGGGAAATATGACTATCGTGATAATTAATATCCATGTTTATGTATGCTCTCGTAAATATTATTTATTCACTTTTAAAAGCAGAAATCTGTTTTTCCCAGGTTCAGTTTTATATTTCGCCAGTTTTTTAATTTTACAGAATCAACTAAATTCATAAACTCCTTTAAAATGCCTTCCTTGGCCACATAAGCATTGGTTTCTGCCGTTAAATTATTTTATATAATGTTTCTTCAGAATTCAGTTTGATTTCAAGCAATAAAACCATGTTTATAAAATCATGCATTTTTAAAATTCTAACTAATCCAAATAATTTCAATAACATTTGAATCAGAAAAAATTACGGTTATAGAATTAGTAAGTTTAAAGCCCAACACTTTCTGCATTTGCAGCACTATAATAAAACACTGTAGAGAGAACAAAATGTTTTAAATTTTGTGCAGTTAGAATAGCTTCATTTTAAAAGTACAGCTGTTACAAAAGAAAGCAATTTAAACAGAGACGTGAGTACTTTAGTACAGCTTATTTAATTAATTATTGCAATGTTTTAGAGTAGTACCTCTAAAAGAAAAGACCAAATTTTACGCATGCGAGACTTATTATATTCGATCATGATTTTTGAAGAATATGATCCTGCGGTGTTTCCAGAAAGAAAAGACGAGGAGTCAAAAGTAGCATATGATGTCAGAGATTACATAATTTTTATAACACCATAACTTGGTGAGCTTACATGATCTTTTACTTCATAACACGTTCAATTTCCGAGTGCTCTAAGTTAAGGAATATAAGAGAAATTCGAATCATGGGCGTTTTAATTATGTGTATTAGTTTTGAAGAAAGTCTTAAAACCAATACTTCTGATTTTCCATTTTTTAAATCTCCATTTCTTCTTTTATTTAATTCTCAGTTAATTCAGGCTATTGTTTTTCAATTGCTTTATTCATATTTATGATCTCCCACGCTTGGATTGCTAACACAGATGTATTAATTAAGTTAGGGGTTTATTTTTTTCCGAAGTGTGGTGCTCTAATTTTTTACTTCTAATTCATACTTAATGAACGCAGCAGCTATAAGTTTACTTAAATTCTGTAACATTCCTCAGAGATCGCCAAAACATTAAGCAAAGCAATGAATCAAACACATAGAAAGAACGGCAATTAGTGTTGGAAACTGAATGCAAATGGCGATCATGGGTTCCGATCGCAGGATTACCAGGTACCATTTTTACTTCCTTGTACGAAGTAAAAAGGAAGTATTGTAACAGCGAAAAGTTTCAGGCAGCATATTTCAACGAAAATAGCCATTTTGACCGCTATCGAATGCAATTTAATGATGTTTTTGCGTGATATCTCTACGTAATGACAGAATAAAAGACTCGTTTCCTCCAAAAAATTATAAAACTGCTTTAAAAAGAATTCTGAAGAGAATTTTTCGTGGCGTCTGTACGAACGTATGCCGTACCTACGATCTCGCATAACTCAAAAACGAGTACCTTAGAAAGTTGAAATTTTGTATATAGGACTGCTATAACATGTAGATGTGCACATTTTGGTTGCAATCGGCCGCACAACCAACGTATATAAAATATATATATTATACTCTGTTACCGGCTCAATGATCTCAGTTTCTTCACTCTTATATATTTGTAAATTGTACATTTTTTGCTTTAAAAATGATTGAATTATGTTGTTCTTATCTTCCGGTTAAGGTTTTTATGCTTTCAGAAAATCTATATGCAATATTTTTAGAATTATCAACAATTTTAAAGTTGTTTAACTACCCCTAAGCCTTTTTTTTATGGAGACCATTGATTGTTTACATTTGAAACAGCAGACTAGTGGACTTGTTGCCAATCTATAGAAACTTAGCTTCGCAACAACAAAGATAACGCCTTCATTTATTGCCAATTAAATCATGCTCAATCCTTTCTGGAATTTTTTTGAGGAAATGCGAGTTTAAGATTTACTTCGTAATTTTTAATATAGATATTTTGAGTTTTTATGTATTTTTGCTTTCTAGCAAAGTGAGAACTGAATTAATTGAATGAGAAATACTCAATCGTCTGTGAAAAACTGTTTCTTTTTGTTTTGTTTGCTTAATTTCTTTTATACATCATTCTAGCTTTATATAGTATTTGAATAGAACATATGCAACGATTAGATAATTCTATTCTTTAAATGATATAAATTTTGGGCATTATGAATTAAATATGAACGAAATATAATACTGTTAAGTGAATCTAGCCAGAGTGTCGCTATGGTAACATATACACAGTGAATTTTAAAGAATGCATTTATTCTATTGTGGTTTATGCGCTGTCGGTGAAGTAGATTTAATTCAATCCGATAAGTTTAAATGAAATGCAAGAAAAATGCGTTTAATTTAATATTCCGTACAAGGAAGTCGTGGTGTACACATCATATTTTTTATTTAAGTCTAAACGAATTCCTAAATTTTACTGTAAATTCCTTTTAATAGATGCATTATTTTAAAACATACGAATTTTAGATACGTTGGAAAATGTCAGAGTAGCAAAACGTAGCACAAGGAAATGATAGAGTGAGAGAAAATTCGCAAAATCGCACAAACATAAATTTTAGCAGCGGAGGTTTATTAAAAGTAGCAGATTTGTGAAAAACTGCACGATCTGAGACTGGGAAGTAATTCTTAAGATTTCTAAACAAATTTCTAATTTTGTGTAATCGTTAAGAATGGTAAAAGAGAAACTTGCTTACATTTCTCAGTACCATGAGGTGATCGTAGAGGAACATACATTCACTTTGGAAGAGGTCCCATAGAGCTTCTCGTCTCTTTTGTTCATTACGGGATCGGGTTAAGGTACCCAAATTTTGTATTTGGTGTTCGATTTCGTCTAAGGTCGAGAAACAGGAATTGTCACCAGTTCCTTGGGAAGGCTCTTGGCTAATATGATTGCTAAAAGAAAAGTCATATCGCAGTTAGCTCCATAACAAAGAATATTTATTACATGCATGAACAACATTTGGAGGATAAATTGAGAATATTAAGTTATTTTGAACCATTTAGAGACAGAAAATATAAAGAGTAAAAAAGAAGTCTTAATAACATAAGCTTCTATTTAAAACTCATAAAATTAATGAACTAACACAAGAAATTTACTTTATCCTACAGTTTCATGGAAACAAGAGATTAAAAATTTTCTCTACAAAATTGATCTATAATTTTATATCAGAAATAATAAAAGCGTCGGACGCCTTTGATAAATTTATAAAGATAATGGTTTATATACTCTTGACAATGCAATTCCATTATTAAATTTCGTTATTTTGGGGTACAAGGTTTTATTATTCGTTCTTCCTTATTTTTAGCCCAGAAGGGCTGCTAGTCTCAAAACGAGATTTTTAGTTGAATCACTTTTTAAATTGTTGCAACCAAATATGATCGCCCTGTTTTATTATATTCCTATTTAAAGAAATTAAATAATGCATGAATGTATTCATGTTTTTCGCGAAGGAACAACGGTACCTAGAGCCATCAAACTTTTAATAACGTAGTCCTACACCCGAATATGGACACTTGCAAGACCGAATTTTGAATTTGTTTTATTGTGTATTTCAAATTTTGTAAAACTTTAAAGAATTTTTATTAACAAACTCAACGATTTCAAAGCGAGCAATTGCGACACTGTAGGGGAAAAACATTTTTATCTCCAGCGTGTGAAACTGTCTATTCGACATTCTAAGGACAGGCTGTTTTTAAATATTTGTAACATTAGCCTCAACGCTCTCGAAACGTGCATGTGTATGTAAATTAAAACAGTCCCTTTGGCGTTGGACGTAATATAAAACCTGAAAGCTTTCTGATTTTTTTGTGATTTTTTAATATTTTTAATCTGGATGACACGTTGGAAATTGAATTATTCAGATAGAAAATCCTTTTTCAGCAGTGAAAACCTCTGCTTTGCTTCCAACAATTCTGCTACGCCAAATGGTCAAAAAAATCGCTCGATTTCCGAAAATTTGCCAAAAAAATTACGTTATCTGTACAGAAGTAATAAGAATCCTGTTATTTTATGAAATTATAAAATTGAGGGTATGTTTTGAAGCGATGACCGGAAAAACCGATCCTGCCCCCTTCTGAGTGGAATCTAGTATAGTAAAGAATAAACAGTGCGTCTCTTCTGCTTCAGACTGCAACATATTTTTAAAGAAAATGTGGAAAATCGCCCAACTATTTTTTTTATTATTCTTGTTTTAAAAGAGGGCGAAAAGTTTATTTTGTAATCTCTGAAAATTTTATATCGGATCCATTTTTAGATAGCGAAATTTTAAAATAATGGATGGCAAAAAAGTCGAGACCTTATATAATTGAAGTAGGGGTTAGTTGGGTGAAAGCTTTATTACTGTTTTGTTTGGTACACCAAAAACATTGCGGCAAAATTATCGAAGAAAACATCGCGGACAAAAGCAAGAGAAAAACATCATAGCACAAATCGTGGTAGGGGGGAAAAGCAAGGAGAAAACTACACAGTTCTAAAACATCGTAATAAAAATAGGAAATAAAATTGGTGGCAAAATGTCTCATTTTGAAAATATCGTTGTAGAAAACATTGTGCTAAAAAAGCCCCTACAAAAGAAGGCCTGCATTTTATGCGTCTAAGGCGTTCAGAATTTTGTGAAATATTTTTCGTCAGTGCAGTATTATTTTAATTTCAACGAACTCTCGTTAAGACTTATGCTTATAGAGGATTTTAAACTTCTCTGAAGGTAGTCGTCTTAGAGAGATGACGTTTAGTAAAAATGCGATAGTTTTTAAAAAAAGATGCCAGTTTCTGTTCTCTAACATACAGGTTATTTAAAAAATCGTTTGTTTTCGGCAGATGGTTTTTATGAGAAGGTTCTCTGAAAAACCATTTGAAAGCGGAACTATCTTTCATTGTTATCTGTATCGTGTGTGATCCTCTTTAGAGACGGTTTGTTTTACTCAAAATAATACTGCACTCACAAAAAGTAGAATTTTGAACGTCTAAGATGCATAAAGTGCATATTTTTGCGATATTTTCGTCATTCAATGTATTATAGCTGTTTTATATTTAATATGATGTTTTGTATGATGATATATTTAAACTGCGAGATTTTGTTAATATATTTTTCCGTAAGAATGTCTTGTATTGTGATGTTGTAGAATTTTCTCCCTGCTTTTTCCCCCCTTATTACAATGTTTTCTTAGGACGTTTTCGTCTGCGATGTTTTTGCTACAATGGTTTCACTTGTATTCTTTTCTTCTTTGCAAATATTGGCTGCAAGAAAGGCAAAGCAATGTTATAACGCATGTTTAAAGCAAAGAACGGAAGATTTGTACCGCCATTTCATGGTTAAGTGCTCTGAAACAGCAGACTTAAATGCGTTTCTTCAAGACATCCTTACGAGAAATAGAGTAGAGCTCGTTTCTGCGGCAACAGACAGCTGAATTTTTGCTGGAAGGAATTCTTGTAGTATAAAGTATCTAGTAGTAGTATAAGACTACTTGTCTTGTAGTATAAAGACAACAAGTACGACGCAATTTCAACTTTAAAAGCTAAAAGCACAGCGAACATACTGGAAGCCCTAAATCGTGGTCATGGCTATCATACCTTGAGCCGTCGAAGAGTTTAGGTAAGCTTGCTGGCATTTGAGTTACCTGTTGTCTTTTTCTGAACACAAGAACAACTCAAAAGGTAAGAGTTAGAATAAAACTTCAATTCTCACAGCTTGTGGGGACTTAATTTAAAATAACACAAAATAAATTAATAACTTTTTGTCAATAGTGGCTGTATGGAACGCTACAGTATATTGGCTGAGTTACAACTTCTGTAATTCTATGCAAAGCTATGACACTAGCTAGGTCGGATAGGCAAAGCGCAACCAATTTTCAAAACTTACCAACTGCGACAAATGTCAAGCGTTACAAAGGAATGTCGAGTAGCAAATGGCATAGTTGCTAGCTATGGTGCAAAGAAGCAGAGAAAAAGAACCAAAACAGCAACACATTAAAGGGACAGAAAACATTTTATTGAAAGGTTGACTACAACAGGCGTTCGAAATTACGATTAGAAGTCGTATAGCAGCCCTGACAGCAGCACTGCATGGAATTCCTTATGTTCTGGAAGATTCCTGGCATGCCACGTATCCTCCCGGAAGCTACAGATATTCGAGCGATGAAGTCTTCAACGGAAGGAACGGGCATCTCGTACACCAAACTCTTCATGTGAACCCAGAGGAAGAAGCCCATGCATGACAGGACAGGTCCGGTGATCTGGCAGGCCAATGAACCGGGCCACTACGACCTCTCCACCGTTGTCTAAAGGTTACGACGAGGTGTCGGCGGACATCAGTCATATAATGTGGAAGAGCCGCGTAATTCAGGTACCACATAGAGTGGCACAACGACGGAGGAACATGTGCTGCGTCAGGAAGTTCAGGCAGGACTTGTTGGAAGAAAATCAGGTATGCCCTGTCATCCAAGGAACTGGGCAGAAGGTACGGTCCAATGAGGTAGTCTCTAAGAATGCTGCCCCAAACATTGAAGGAGAAACGCTCTTGAGCTGCACATGGTTGCGTACAATGAAGGTTCTCCGAAACACATACATGTGCGTTATGCTGATTGAAAGCTCCTTCACGTCTGAAGTTATGTTCTTCCGTTAACAATACGGTGCAGAAAATACGCTGTCTGTAACACTTTGGTGAGGGAACCAAATCGCAAGCATTTTCCGGGGTTGATAACCTTCAGGTTCTAGTAATTGGACGCGATGAAGATGGTATGCGCTCATTTGGTTTGCTGCGAGCATCCTCCAGGCTATAGACTGAGATAAACTCACGTTTTTGGCTATCGCTTGAGTACTCGCATTTTGATTGTCTTCTGCCAGACGTAAGACCACCTCCTTATTGCCAGGTGTCCTCGTCGTTCGCTGTCGATTCATTGTAGCTCTCGTTAAATAACCAATTTCACGTAACCTTCAGTTAACACGAAAGTCGTGTGATGTGAAGCATGACTGCTCGTATAACGTTCCTAGTACTACCGCCGAGCGGCGTGCCCGTTACATTCCGCAGCTCCATACACGATCAGCATGTCAACCAGTTCATCGTTTGAATACGCGTTCATCCTGCAGTTCAGGATGTTTATTATGAATCAGTATGTTTATCTATTATTTATGTTTATTATGAATTAGTATATTTATCTATTATGTATGTTTATTATGAATCAGTACGTTATTTATTATGAATCAGTATGTTTATTTATATTGAATCAGTATGTTTATTTATTATGAATCAGTATGTTTTTCAATTATCATGTTTATCATGTACGTAAGTAAAGTATGACCTGTTCAGTGTGAACTAACACACGCCATGTCCAAATTACACACAAAGTGAACGAATCACACACACATAACACACTAAGCTTGATTTGTACAATTTAGTATCTGTATGTAACTGTATGTATGGCAGGGAACAATTCAGTAGTATGATTATGTGTCATGTATGCTTTTTGTATTATGAATCAGTATCAGTAATCGTATGTATGCCACGGAGAAATTCAGTTATATGATTATGTATCATGTATGTATAGCTCATGTATGTTTATCTATTATGAATCAGTATGTTTATCTAATATGTGTATCAGTTATCCTTCGTCTCATGTATGTAAGCAAGTATCAACAAAAGTTTTTATGTACGATGCAACCAGCCCTTGTATGCGTTGTTATGGCAATATTCAACCTTTCTGTTTTAGGGCGTTGTTCTGGACAGTTGCAGGATTCGGACAACTCGACTCGTCTGTGTAAGCCTCCCTGGTGTCGGGATCCTGTTTTCAAAAATGTCAACTGTCAATTAGCTCATGAAATCGGCCCCGGGAGGACGCGTGACCACATGCCTGTTTACCTATGTTATACATCAGGCCGTCCTCCGTCACCCACCTACTTACCTCGGGAAATTACGACTTCCAGCAGGATCGCTGTTCCAACAACCTTCCGTTCAGCGACATCTACCGCAAGATGGCCGAGAGGAATCTTCCAGAACCTAGGAATTCCATACAGCGCTGCTGTCAGGCTAGCTGGACCACTTCTTGTCGTAATTTCGAACAACTGTTGTAGTACAACCTTTCAATAAAATGTTTTCTGTCCCATTAATGTGTTGCTGTTTCTGTTCTTTTTCTCTGCTGCTTTGCACCATATGGCATTTGCGACCTTGCATTCCTATGTGATTCTGAGTCGTCTCTGTATCCTCTACACTGGTTGCGAATCACCCTTATATATATATATATATATATATATATATATATATAATTAAATGAAAAGTGAAGAAAGAAGTCGGAACTTCCAAAAATTAACGTAAAATATCAAAAATAGCAATAACTCGTTCAAAAATAAGCCAATCAGTATAAAATTTGAATATGTTGTCAAATAAGAATTGCTGTGTAAAACTGTAGTATACAAATTAGTGGCGCTGCAATCGAAATATGTCTTCTCAGAGGAGCATAAAATTGCATATTTAAGAGCAAGCCTTCAAATTTCGCTGTGATACTGAGACAGGAAATCTGTGCTAGCCAATTTGGACCAATGCCTTCTAGGCAGCATTTGTCCCAAGAACTTCGATGGAGAGCTATAGGGAGACTAGAGGCAAGACAAGGTCAGGCAGAAGTAGCCAGATGGCTAAATGTGAGTCCTTATGTGGTTCTTAGACTTTGGCAATAATTTCTAACCACAGATACGGCAACCAAGGAGGTTCAGATAAGGACAGCTCTGATGACTGATAGTTGTTTTTACGCGTACGAGGGAATAGAATTCACTCCGACTCAACTCAGATGCTCCCTTGCTGCAGCCTCTAGAAGGTTGTTGTCAACGTCAACATGCGTATAAGACTTCACGAAGCAGGTCTGTACGGGTGGCGACCAGCCATTTGCGTGTCGCTCCCGTCACTTCAAAGAAGAGAACGCTTGAGGTGGCCGCGTCAACATGTCGACTGGACAGCTGATCAAACGAAGATTTTTCTGTTTACAGATCAGTTCAGATTTAGCCTCCAAAGCGATACAGCAGCGAAAGTAGCCGAACTTTTACTTCGCATCATAATGGTTAGGATTTCCTTCTCATTATATCCTACGCCCTTACAAAATTTGAACAAACCTTTGGATTGAGAGTGTAACAAGGTGACGAAATGAGGCATAAAGGAAAAAAATCAACATAAAACTACCTGATAGTAAAAGATAATTAAATGTCACAACCTTTTTCCGTGGAAAGAAAACCGTGTTGGGATTTCTTTCGTTAACCGAAGAATTCTAATTTAGACCTTTTTAAAAGTGAAAAAGAATTGTCAAATGGAGGGTACCTTTATTTAATGCTACTTTACCCAGTACAGAGCCACTGATTATTAAAACGAGTAACTTCACTTCCATACCTCCTTCCTAAATATGAGCAGAAAATATCCAGATTCGTTGGGTGAAACGTGTTGATCTAAGTCAGTAGAATTCTTTACACTTCATCTCCGTAAACTTTACACATAAAGTTATGAAACGTTTAACATTTGCAAGAATAATAAATAAGCAGTTCTTGCTATATAAAGACTATATAAATAAACTTTGAATGTACAAAACTCCTTTACTCTCAATTTTCAAACTGTTTTTATAATTATTTTCTTGTTTAGAAATTTGTTCATTAGTTATTAGTTCATTAGGAATAGTTGTGTAGGGCAGCGATTTTCAACCGGTGATACGCGTAGCACTGGTATTACGCAAGCGAAATATAGGTGGTACGCAAAGGAACAAAGTATTTTTAACTATTACATTCAAAATTATCGGAGAGAAAAAGAAAAATTGTTAGAAATTTCCTGTGATCGAATTGTAACTGAAGATTTCAAAAATAACACAGTTGTTAAATGTTGACTGAACTCAAAAAAAGGAATTTAAAGGCTTTTCAAATGAAGCTGTTAAACTTTTATTGCCTTTTTGCACAACCTATTTGAGTGAATAAGTATTTTCTTCCACGTTTTATTTGAAAAAATACAAAACAAAATTAAAATTGGATCCTAATTTACCGTTAAAGTTAATTGAAATAAGACCAGACATAAAGAAATTGATCTCTCTTAAACAGGCCCAAATTTCACACTAAATTTTAGAATTAAAGTATTATAACTTAAATTTCGATATTTAAAATAGTAACCAATTTTTAATCTAATATTTTTTATGTGTGCATATTCAATACAAATGGCCAATAGGTTGTTCAAATGGTAATATATATATTTATATTTATATTTCCGTTAAGAAATTAAAAAATAATCATTGTAAAATGTGTTGGTGGTACTAAAGCTTTTCAGATTTTGTTTAGATGGTACGCGTTAGTCAAAAGGTTGAGAACCGCTGGTCTAGGGTAAATAATATATTAAAATATAATCTGCAGTTACTTTCTCTTTCAAACACTCCGTGAAGCGTTAAATTCAAAATGTTATAAAAAGAGATTTAAGGCGAATCAGAAATCATATATATAGGCGAAAGTGTTTATTTTAACCTAAATTTTCTTTTTTCATATCTGTCTACATTATTTTAAATAATTATAGTTTTACTGCATTTGGCTTATTTATTAACATTTCTATTTCTTTTTTATTTGATAAATTTGAAAAATCATATCTCAGCCCGCTTTCTTACGGTCAGTTACTTTTGTGACGTACGTGGTGCAAAGAGTTGCCATGGTAATCTATTTCTGGATAGGATTCCCCACCACTGGTGAGAGAAAAGCGAGCTGCTTCATTAATAAGGGAGATATTTCCAGAGTTCTAGGAATTGACCTCTATTTCAATTCCTAGAAATTATAGGCAAAGATATCGTCCAGAGACAATTTTTGACATGTTTATGCAGCTATCCCGTGCAGTGTTGCTTAGTCCAATTTAGCTGTTTGATTAATACAGAAGCATTTCTGTAGCACTATTTTTGCAACCATGGAAGATGTGAAGAACAATAATTTTCATTTTGCTAAAACAGGGCCTGAAAACTTCAGAAAATTCTCAAAGCCTCCTAGGAGTATTCTGTTCCCACATTTGAAAAGAAACTTTTACAGTTTGTTGTTAGATTGGACAGTTTAACCTTGTGATAAATAAGTGGAATGAGGAGACACAAAAAAAGTTTTTGAAAATGACAAAAAGACCTAAAAATATTTGTTTTTCGTTGGAAAAAGTGTATTCAATTAAATGTTTTGTTGAAAACCTGTATCAATGCAAATTAGAAAAATAAAAAAACCCCTAATTTCCTAGACCTTTGGCAAGATTCTACGTAATATATTTCGAAGAATGATGTCATCACAGGAATAACTTAAAATATTTCAGCACTATTTTTATATTTTACATAATTTTAATAGCGAATTCTATATAATAATAACAAACACAGGTACGTATTTTTTTGCCATTGATGTATTTCGTATTATTTGCATACAGCTTTGCAAACCATCTCTAGCTTCACAGGCAAGGAATGACCCACAGTAATCTTTTCCAAAGTTTTATAAAAAACAATTCCATTGTTTCATTCTTCAGAATTAAATACACGTTTTGTGATTAAAGCTGGCAATTTCAATATTAGAGAATTCAAAAGAGTGAACAGTGAAGTGTTTCCATTTTTCGAAGACCTCAAATTCACTGATAGATTATATCTATAACTAATTTAAAAAAAGCTATCCTACAGTAAAAAAAATAAAAGAAACCAAAACACCAAAGATTCTATTAAATTATTAAAACATCTTGCAATGCGTTCCAATGTTGCTTTATGCACATATGAATCTACTAGAATCGAGTAAAAAATGTGTTTTGTATTGATGAGTGTAAAGTTACATGCAAAATGCATGTGTTTGGGTTAATGATGCAATACAAAATACGTTATTACATATTTTTTCTGTTTGTTAGTGATGTCACACAAAATTCTATAATGTATTTGTGTACTTTTAGTTAAAAAATTATTGATATAATTATGTGTCTTCCGTTCTTTTTCCCGAAAATTATTTTGCAGGTGTTCATATTACAACGCTTGATGAAAAATTAATTTCAATGCTTAAGCCTGCTACATGTACATTATACAAGCCTGTAAGATAGATAAAAGTATGCAGAAGGAAGCTGCCCCCCCCCGACGAAACTCAAAACACAAATATCTGACTTTTGCTGTATCACACTGCATTTCCATAGGCGGTTTCAAGTTTTTAAGGTTTGATTTGGTTTGGTTTATTTGATTATGGCAAAGCACGCTATGGCTATCTGCCTAGGAGGAACTTCTCAATTATTCTCAAATGGCAACGCATACACATTTCAGAAGCACAGGTTAACTATTCACCTTTTAGAATAAACATTGCTTCCTATTTAGCTCCAGATAGTAATTCGCAATGCTTTATATCTGCATTCCTGTAAATAAGACAGCATATTGGCCATGGCTTTAAGCGCATAGTGCTCTAATGACAGAATTTGTAATGAAGACTAAAATAGAATTTTTAATAAATCACGGGCGAACAAAAAAGAAAGGTCAGCTGAAATGAGCAATAAAAACATTCATCACTGTTATGTAAAGTGACTAGATTTTTCTGAAAGCATTCCAAAATAAGATGCAGTTTGGCGACTTGAAAATTTACAGTGAGCCCCCACTATAGAGAACTTGCTTTATATTGAACCACGGATGTAACCAACGAACAATTTAATAACATCCAATTCTTTATATACTACATATTATTATATACTGTTATAGAGAACCTCAAAACGTATGAAAATCCGATATAACGAATTTTAGAGCCATTTCTTTTATGAAAATTTTTATGTTTATATATACGTATGGTTTCATAGTTTTCTTTAAAGAATTTCTGCAAGTTTTGACTGTAAATTAAATGTTGCGATAATGGAAATTACCTTTGTGTTCCTGTTCTTTTACCTTTATCCCCCACTTCCTCTCTATTCTAAATAAGAGCTAGGCGTTAGACAAAAACCTCAATCAGGATATTGGGGGTTTTAATTTTTGAATTTAATAGTTAAAAATACTTTGCTTCTTTGCGTACCACCGGTTGAGAACTCCTGGAATACTAGCAACATCAGGTCAATCATAGAACCTAATCAATTAATGTTAACTCTTTGAGTTCACGCCAGAAATTTCTGCAGCGGTTGCAGTAAGAAATATCAATAAAGCAGAAAAACCAAGCAAGGTTTTTGGCAATACGAAGAAAAGTAAAGAAACTCGACATGTAAGAGTCTCACGAGCATACTGCTGAAAACAAAGAACAATTTGGGCAATAATAGGAAAAGTAAAGAAACTCGACAAGTGGGTGCCTCACGAACGCACTTATAAAAATAAAGCACGATTTTGAAAGTATAGTCCTCTGTTTTAAGAATGAGTAAGAAGAAAGCTTCCATTTATTTGTTTTATTATTTTCACTTTATGCGGAAAAACTCAGCATAACGGCGCAGAATATTTTATTTTTTTATGACGAAAAACCAGAGTCATTATCTCAAAAATGACAAAATATTTCTCTAAAACTGACACCAGCTTAATTCTTATTTTGTTTATTTATAATAATCAACCTGCGATTTATTTCTGAATCATAAACTAAAATTGACAGAAACCCAATATTTGCTAAAATTCGTTCTGCAATGACTCCTGTCTTGAGAATGTTAAAATTTGCCGTGTTGGGTCAATATGAATTTATTTTGCTTCAATGGCTCATCGTAAGTGAGTCTATTCGACGAAAATTTTGCACTGATCTCAGAAAAGTTCAGGCTCTCCTTTGACACCTTCAGATAAGGGAAAAAATCTTGTTCTGAGTGTTACAGAAGGGACACGAAATCTGAAAAATTCGAAGGGAGAGAACAGACGCCATGTTCTTCTTACTCAGTTACAGAAAAGAAATTCCATTGATTTTCCTTTAATGTAAATTTAAACGTATATATTTTTCTGAGCATAATAAAAGTTGTTAATCAATCCAGTTTCATATATTACGCTAGAAATGCCATCTAGGCTTAATTATTAGCTATGCTACACTTCTGATTCATTGATAAACGTTTTGTGCATAAATATCATTGTAGTTAGAAGCATTCATGAGATATTCGACTTCTACTACTACAAAGTCAGGTACTGAATTCTTAAACGAATAATAGGGAGAGGGCAATATTTAGCATTTTTCTCAGTAGTCTTAATTTTTACAACATAAAATACTTGTGATTCTTTTTAGTTTATACAATGGATCTACAATTTCAATAGAAGTATTGCATGCTATAATATATGCGATCACCAGGAATGGTATACCTTCGAAATTCGGAGAGAGGTTCTGTGGTTCCACTTTCCAGCTCGTTCTGGGCCTTGGCGAAAACTAGACACCAAGTTCTCTTGAGTCATCTCCTTTTCAGTTTCTGAAGGGCTTAAAAGACGAGTTATTGTCCTTGTTAATGTTGACGTTTTGGTTTCTGAAGACGGAAGTTGGCGTTTGGAATTCTTTCTGAACAGAGCTTTAGCATTTTTAGCATTCCGTTGCTCCCACAGAGAAACAAATTCTGACCACGTCATTCCCTAGAAGAAAAAAAGAAAAATAAGACGAACTGAATTTTGATGCCACAAGATGATAAGCACACTCCTTCGAATTGCAAAGTTTTTACTATACAAAAATGCTTCATTTTCAACTGTTATAAAACAACTATTAAAGAAAAAATTTACTTCTACTCGATTGTGAGATTTGTTTGTTTACGTTAACCAGTTTTCGTAGCTGAAATGTTTCTTCTTTGTTGTCCTAAGCTGTAATGGCCATGCTTAACTTTTCTGATAGAAATTTGCTTTTGCTTGATTTTATCAGCAGCGAAAACCCATTGCTCAACAGAGTAAAATACTTGACAGTAATAATTATCGGGTTGTCCGGAAAATAATGCAGGTTTTTGCAATTGTTTATCTTTCCTGTACGTTTTTAGCAACAAAAATATTTTGAATTACGTTGATTTATATATCATTTTGAAGCTCCATTTTCACTCTATATTTCTATAATAATCATTTTATTCCAAAATTATTTAAAAAATATTTACTAGGTGTTTTTGTTTAGATGTGAAAACGGGATTTTCTGCAAATTTGCTTTTTATGAGTACAAGCTAGGCCACAGCGCAGCACAAACGGCTCGAAATGTTAACGAAGTATGGGGTGAGAAAAGTGTTAATGAATCTACAGTTCAACGGTGGTACCAAAAGTTTCGTCATGGAGAATTTGATCTGGAAGATCAAGAGCGCCGTGGACGCTCTTCGGCTGTTGATGACGATGATTTGAAGACTTAAGTTGAACAAACCCGTGCATAAGCTTGCGGAGAAGATGTAAGCAAAACAACGATTTCTGATCGCTTGAATCATATAGGAAAGTCAAAGAAGCTCGATAAGTGGGTGCCTCACGAACTGAGCGAAAATAAAAAAAAATAGCCCTTTTCAAGTGTCGTCTACTCTTCTCCGTAACAAAAACGATCCTTTTCTTGATCGAATTGTTACGTGCGATGAAAAATGGATTCTCACCAACAACTGGCGACATTCGGCTCAGTAGTTGGACCGCGGTCAGACATGTTATGAGTCACGTGCCGTGAGAGGATCGGATACACAAATGATAAATACAAAATACAATATATAAACACATCTATGTTTACGATCCTGGTCACGGCACCAATGTTCTGTTTCTTTACCGTGCCGTGATAATCAGGGGGCACCATTGCTGTGTTACTACTTCCTCTTAGGGATGAAACTAATGCAGAAACAGACAGGGGAAACCGTAACTAACTAAATATCAACTGAGAAACTAAACTCTTAAGAGTTAGCTAATTACCACAATTTTAGTGATCGTATAAGTGAAATTTTTGTGCATTGCGTTGTGAAAATGCATCCGGGACCGCGCCGTGAGAGGATCGAATAAACAACATGTAAAATCAATATATATATAAGAAAAACACATAAAAGATATAAAGAAAACATAAGTAATAGGTTTCCAGATTAAATACCAGTTTATTCAAATTCCTCAACAATTAAAATTAAATCTTATCATTATCAGAGACTCAAATTCCTTATTTTAGTTACAGTTCAATTTTCTTATTTTAGACACAGGTGAATTCTTCAATTTATCATTTTCCTTTTTTGTTACATTTAAATCAATGATTAGCAAATCTACTTACATGACTCTATTAATTTAACAGGTAACTACGTTGCAGTAATTTCTAAGAGGTTAAAGGAAACATATTATCTGCAATTTCAACATTCTGTTCTAAGGAATGATTACACAAACATATATATATTACATCCTATTTATATGAGGACCTTTCATGGTTTGTCTCGGTAAATTAAAAAGGGGAAAGGGGAGGCAATTTAGTCCTTTAGAATTAATTTTAAGATTCGAAAGTTGTTTTTTTTTAAATTCCAAGGAAGGATTTCTGAAACCTTACTTAAAGTTCAAACACAGAAAAAAAGACTTATCTTTGGTGGACATCTTGAAGTGGAGAACTCGTATCCTAATACCAAGCTGACATCGACGGCACTGACCCTTGGTTACAAATGGAAGTTTCAGAGGACATCGTCCTGTCCTGGCACTATTGGCGAAACACACACGGCCGGTAACTGGTTTTTCTAACGACGAAGCGTTTTCACTCTGGAAAACAAGAGCACTGCTGCCCAGCACGGCTGTCTGCCTGGTCTTCCCGCTACAACAAGACATCATAGACTATGAAGAGAGGTATTTCTCATATAAGACCGAAGGACCTTGTCCTCGGCTTTTTAGATAATGGCATAAAGCAAAATCTGCAGCCGGATAACATAACAGACGTTCACTGTCGAAAGCACAACTGGATGGTTTACCATCCTCTTTCTTCATCACCAGAAACTTAGCTCACTCCTCTCACCTTCGAAAGTCGGGCCAAAAGTCTTAATCCTGAAAGTCTTAAATCCTTCAGCAAAACTCGTCCAAAGTCGGGCAAAAAATAAAACTCGCCCATCTTCAATTTCTCCTCTTAGCCAAAACGCAGCCGGGGAGCATGGTTGCCTCTCCCCGCCGGAAAAACATCTTTCTTCGTAAATTACATCTCCTCCTTTTCTATCGTTCAACCCAAGAGCAAGTTTTAAAAGTAACGTCCAAGAGTAAGTCTAGAAAGTAACTGATTCCAAGAGTACGTGTTTCAAACTCGAAATTTCTTAGTCTCCTTCACAAACGCGGGCTCCCACAATGGCTTCAACTATCGCCCCCTTAATTTGGGCAAAATTTGCGTTTCATTCCCCTGATGAATGACAGAACTAAGGGTGATCGCGCATGCGCGCCCATCTTCACTTAACCAACGACCGGAACCCCCCGATCGCCAAAACCAGAATGATTACATCGAAGTTAAGTGGCAACCTCTGACCCCTCTGTCACGTACTTCCTGTCCTAAAGGTCAAATGCACAAAAGAAATCTCTTCTAGAAACATTCTAAAGGAACGAAACAACGTGCGAAATCATGACTTAGAAAAATCGCCTCCTTTCCCTGCTTCTTTTGACAATGAATCAAAGGCTCGGATAAAAATTGCAAATAAAAGGAAAATAAATAATATTCTTTGAGACTAAATAATATTCCAGAAGCATCTGTTTTTTTTTTTTTCCAAAAATTAAAGCATTAAAATAAATAATTCAGAATCAAATAAAATTAAGATTTTCTTAAATCAGAAAATCATTCATCTAGTTTTTATACGCGATCAGAGAATTATCTACACAACAGACACGACAACACTTTCCAAAGCCAAATTTGTACTAAAAAAAATTATGGTGACTTTTTGGTTCTCTGCGGCCGGTCTCATCCACCACAGCTTCCTAAATCTGGGCGAAACAATTACAGCAGATAAGTACTGTCAGCAAATAAACGAAATACACCAAAAATTGCAACGCATATGCTCGGCATTGGTCAACAGAATGCGGCCAGTTCTTCTCCATGACGATGCCCGGCCGCACGTCCTGCAACTGATCCTACAGAAAATTGAACGAATTGGGATACGAGACTCTCCCTCTTCCCCCATATTCTCCTGACTTCTCGCCGACCGATTACCACTTTTTCAAACATCTGGATAACATTCTGCAGAAGAAATGCTTCAGAAACCAAGACGAGGTCAGAAACGCCTTTGACAACTTTATCGCGTCCAGAAATTTAGAATTTAATTCTACCGGCATAAAGAAACTTATTGGAAAAAATGCATTGATTCGGCTGGGTGCTTATTTTGATTAATAAAATTGTTTTTGAGTTATGATACTATAAAGATATAGGTTAAAAACCTGCATTATTTTATGGACAACCTAATAGATTAGAATAGAAAACTTTTACAAAATTAGCATTTTTGACACAGATTTCTAAATAAATATATATCACCTAAAATTTTGCAAAAGAGAATACATTAACCCTATTTACCCTCTACGTCACGCTTACATATTTTAAAGAAAAGCTGATTTTCATATATCAGCATTAACAAACGGTGATATTTCAAACTTCTTATCGTATATTAGAAAACGCGAAGAGAATAAATATGTGTGTCGTAAAAGAAGTCAGTTGATCAATGTTCGCGTTTATAGAATGTTAAGAGTTGCCATACATTCACTATACCACTTATATATGCAATGTAAATTGATAGAAATACCGGATGATGAAGATATTCACCTGTAAAAATTGTTACTGCCTGTTAAAAGGGTTCTAAATTTTTGTTTAATTTTTTCACCTTCTGGCATGTATATCCGCAAAGTTTAAAATGTGGTTCACATTACATAGATTGCTTCCTTCAACTGTTTATGAATAAGCGAAAACACTATTAGTACACAGGGCGACAGTTTAAAGAAGAGTGCACGCCACTTTTTTTAACACAGAGCTGGGAGAGTAGGTTTAATAAGCTCTATGAAAAGCATCGATAGACAATACTGAACAGTATTACAAGTATATAGTGTTGTGAAAGACATTTTTTCAATTAGAAATCTGAGGATTTTTATCTACAAGGGATTAACCTACTACAAGAGGTCGATGGCAGTTACATGATTACATCTATACTCCACGTTTTCTTTCATTTCTTTTCTATTTCACCTAAAAAACTGAGACGAACTTTTGCATCAATTCAATAGTGTGCACTCAAACGAAGCTTTAACATTGATCTGGCTATATACTAATCTATTTTGAAGAGACATAAAGCCTTTCGTGAGATAGAGGGTCTTTGTAATTAAATGAAAGGAAATAAATGGCAGACCTTCCATCTTGGAGTAAACAATAAATTGAGGAAAGGAGCTTTTATTACCCAGCCCGAAGAAATCAGCACGTAAAGGTAGTAGAGACTTGCAAGTACCAGAGACAACAATAAGCAAAGACCATACTTAACACCCACATGAACTGCAAATGGTTCAGAAATTATGATCAAAATACAAGATAATGTGATGAGAGTTTTGCGAGACTACCTAGATTTTAATGAAGGACGATGAAACCCAGCATACAAAGATTATTTTCAGTGACGAGGCGATCATCTTCTTAAGTGGAAAGATTAACGGGCACAGTATCAGAATCTGAGGAAACAAGAATCCTTTTGTTACTCTGAATGTGGAAATTGAGTTTTCCAAGTGCATATTTTTTAACAAAAAATACTTATAGGCGAAAGGCACTTAATATTGTTATGCTTCTGGTTAGTTCATCAACTTACTGCATAGAAAGAGAGAGAGAGAGATGACTGCATTCAAGAAGATGGAATGCCGCCACACCAAGACCATACTATACACTTGTTACGAAAACTTGCCAAACCGATGGACAGGTTGAGTTAGATCCATAATAAAGTTATTTGCAAGTTGCCCTATAGATCAACAGAAGTGATATCGGGGCTGTTGTTTTGTTTGTTTGTAGAGTTTGTGATTGTTTATCTGTAGAGTTTTCTGATAGACAAAGATATATGTATTATCTCCATTATCCGCAGCACTGAATAATCTTCAAAAATTCATTTAGCTCCTCTATCACACCAGATTCATTTCACAATCTATGTTTGGAATTGGACTGCAGCTTCGATATTGTTAAGAAATGTTCAGCTACCCCGCAAAACAGGTTTAGGATTGTCACAAATGTCAAGGGAAGGCAAAGTTGTCATATTTGGCACGAAATCGCCCATTTGGCGAAAAAATTGGTGATATGGCATAGACGGATGGAGAACATTATAGAACGAATTTTTACAGGTTTTGCACAGAATGTTTTCGAACTAAGGCCAAACGCTATATAAACCCTGCTTGTACGCGTCTAGTGTCGAGTTGGTCGTCGAGTGTATCGCGAGGTGGTGCCTCGAGAGTGCCCATCGTTGAGGCTATCGAGTGTATCGTCGAGTACATCGCGAGCTATAGCATGGAGAGTCTCGAGAGTACGTTGAGTTTTGAGAGCGACCGAACTGAGTGCTTTCCTGTGAAGCTGTCTTCACCGATATTGCCTGATAGCCTGAAAGCTGTGCTGTTGATAGTTTCAGCGTGTTTGTCGTAGTTTTTCGACGACTGTAAACGTGTTTTTGGAGCTTTCCTGATTAATTACTGGCAAATAATTTGCGTTTTGATACTTCATCAAGTGTTGTCGTCAATCACTCCAAATCTACGAATCCATAGAACGCAACAGTGTGGCGCAAACATCGATTGTTTGAGATTAAAATTAATACCACCAAAATGTTATATATTGATGCAACTACGGAAAATAAAATTGGGCAGGACAGTGTGTATTTTGTAAGTAAGTGATTAATCTCATAGATTAAATTTTTGAAAATCAAAATATGAGTTTTAAGTTTAGAAAAACGTATAAAGGTTACTGTTAAGGGCATTACTAGCAGTTTTTCTCAGATGAAATTGTCAGATTTCAGTGAATAAATATTTTCTTTTATCATTAAATACCCACGTTTGTTTGTAAGGTACAAGAGATTCCAAATATCCGGATTAGTTATTCAGACCAGTTGATATTAAAAAAAATCACCCGATTGCCTCTCCTTAGCCAGCTATATGTATATTTATTGTAAGGCAGATGAAGAAACTTTCTTTTTTCGCTTATGTTTTTGGGCTAACAGATTTTAACACCTGAGAAAAATTTCAAATTTGCATCTTTCTAATATATTTGTTTATTATATTATTGCTGGTATACAACTAGTTTAGTTTTATCATTTTTAATTAGTATTTAGTTTATTTCATTTTACTCTTTTTTGCCTTTCATGCATCCCACCTTCATGATTCTAATGATTAACAATGTAAAGTGTATATAAATATGCACAATAATTTCAACAGAAAATATCATAAAATGTTGAAGAATGTTAACCAATTGCAGCAAGATTTTATATTTTTAGTTGCGTTACCTAACAGCTAAATTTTCGCAGAACCAAAATGATAACCTGAAGCTGATGATTAGATTAAAAAATAAAAAAGTTAATTACAAAAATAATAAGTAAAATTTCAGAGTGAAGGCCTTATAGTAAAAGCAAAATTCAAATATCTGCATCACAAGTCTCTGTCACTACTAATATAGATTTTCTTACTTTGTATTTTGATAGGTGCTCGTCAATAAACTCTGAAGGTCGCAGGTTACTAAGAACTTCTTCCAATCCACCTAGAGATTCAGATTTACTTCTACCAGAACGATCAAACTGGAAAAAACAATAATCAGCATGAACGTTAAGACAGTGCAAGTATAAAATATATAATTACGTCATATATATATATATATAGACGTATATATTATATCAAATTATACAGATCTTTAGATTACGTAAATTGTAAATTACTATGGATATCGAAAATTAACTGAAGTAGGTGGAAAGAAAATTGAAATTACATACAGTGCACGTTCAATGTTATTTGTCCCTATTAACCGGAAGCAATTAACCGTGTAGCGGATTAATCAGGCTTTATCTTATAAAAGCTGTTTATTTACTGCATAACGATAAGAAAACTACAATCACAAAACAAAAAAATCATAAGGTTCTAATTGACGTTTTATGCGAGTTTGCACTCAATGACTTAGTTCAAGTTCTATAGCAAATATTGTTCTTTAATGTATTGTTCCATTTATAACTTAGTTTCTTCTCTTTTATCGTACTTATTCTTCCGTTGTTTAGAGCAGCGTTTTTTCACTGGTGCTCCGAAAAAAAAAATTCGAAACTCAGAGAATAACGAAATATTTTCTGCTTTATGTGTTTAAACAGCTCTTAAGAGATATTTAACGATAAATCATAAAACAAAGTTGTTTAAATCACGATCATAATACTAAATTTAGTAATGTAGCGCGAGAACAAATGGCTTCACTGCCAAAGGAACATATACGCAGAATACATTTTTGTTAATGTATTCAGAGAAACACATATGCAGAATACATTGTTTCTTTGTGATGAGAAGTTAAAGAAATATTTTAAATCTCAGTTTAGTATTTTAAAAACCTTAGTCTTCATTAGACTTTTTTTTATCTTTTCTGAACTCGTAAGTTAATATAAAAACTTTTATAATAATAACTAATGATATATTTGCAATACTTTTTATAGTGCAATATTTTTTAATCGTTAAAAGTACTGTTGTAATTAAGTCAATATTAACATATACCTTGGATTTAAAATCCTTTTACGAATACAGATTGGCGGACAGATAACAGCGAAGCTGATTTCAAAACAATTATTTGATTCGACAACTGATTCTGATGTCAAACGAAAACTTTAAGGGGATCTTTAAACGGATTTTGAAAACGTTTGTCAGTAGAATATTCGAATATAGCAAAACGAACTACTTATAATTTATTTCCTTTTTCGACAAGGTATTTATGCGAAGCAAGTTTCTCACATTACGTCGCAACAAACTCCGACTAAGAATTTAATTAATTTTATGTGTTATTTCTTTTGTAACATTAAGAACTGAAGTATAAGTATGATATAAAAATTAGAATAAATGTTTAGCATGCATCGAAATTTATTTTATTATTTATTCTACTAAATCCAAATTTATACTAGTTTTCCTTAAACGTTTCAGAACTTACAAAGTATTCCACGATGAGAAAAGTTTCGGAAACACTGATTTAGAGTATGTTCTCTTTTATTTCGATACTGATTTAATTTATATAGCCAAATGACTTTAGGAATCGAACCATTTGAAACCCATTCTTTTAGTTGTAATACGGATTATACCACTTTCTTGCACATTTTTAAAGCGTTTTGATGTAAATTTGGCTTTGAGTTAACCGTGGATGTTATCACTGGTCAATCCGTGGCTAGGTACTTTTCATCTGAGGCCAAAACAGCAAATGAGCTCCCTAATATACTCTCAAATGTACTGTATCTGCATGCTTTTATATTCAACACAGGTCACACGAAATAATTAATCACACGAAACTTCTTATAATATAAATTTATGGGTTCAGAAAACCAGTACATATAATAATTTAGTATTTTTAAATGAAAAGGTAATTTTTAATTACCTTTTATTTGATAAAAAAGTCATATTTAAAAGTTTCTATTCAGGCAAAAGAAGATTTTGTTTTTAAAAACGCACGAATTGTTTTTTATAGCTTAAGTTTTCTGGAGCTTATTTGAACCTAGCATTATCAATTCACTATATTAAAAATATTCTTAACACAATTTCCGAATTCAAATATGATTTAACTCAAATGAACTTCTCTTGATATATATTAAAAAAAACTGGTTTTGCTTTGGTGACCAAAATTGTTAAAATAGAGGAATTTTTAAAACTACAGGGTACGTCAGAAAAACGTACACACATTTTGAACTCAAGTAAAAAAATATTTTCCTATCTGCAAGGTTAGATTTATAAGAAAACATAATTTTATGTTAACAGATGGCAGCTGATTCGCTGATCTAGCTGTGCAACCCAGTTAGTTCGAAGAGAATAACATGCATATGGCGGGAGTACGTTTGAGCTTTCAAAAACAGAGTGGTACTGGACGTTTGAGAATGTTTCTGTGGTTCAACGACGGTGGAGATGTGAGTATGGAACTGATCCACCTTCAAGGTTAACAATTACACTTCTAAGAGAAAAATTCGAGGTTTATGGAATTTATGGAACAGTTGAGATGTGCAGAAAGGCCGATTAGGACGACCTCTCGGAGCTAATTGTGATGATTCTTCAGTTCCAATGCTGGAAGTGCTTCAACGTTTGCGACAAAAATCTTCAAGGCAAATGTTACGTGCAAGTGGTGTAAGTGCTAGTGGTGAGTGATAATGTACCAAGCCAGAGAGAGGATAGGACGCAGGGAACTAGTCGAGTTTCCTGCACGCTCTCCAGACCTTACACCGCTCGATTTTTTTAATAGGACACAGTAAAAGATAAGGTGTGTTGTAAACCAAGTAACCTTGACTCACTTTGGGATGAGATTCAAGAAGTGTGCACAAAAATCCCATTGGTCACTTTGGTACGAAGTGTGGAATAAGTCGTAACTCGTACTCAGAAATGCAACAATGCTGAAAGTCACCATTTTCAACGTTTACTTTAAACACCATTGGGGTCATTCACATTGACTAGAAAGTACACTTATTTTTCAAAGTGAAATGTAGCCTTATTTTTCCCAGATATTTAGCCTTGTAGATTGGAAAATAAATTTTATAATAAATAAATAGTAATAATGGCGAGTTGAAAATTACATAATAATAATTTTTATCTGTCGCTTTAATTATTTCATAGCTAACAATTAATAAGATTTGTGATTTTGTTTGGTTAATAAATTAAGGAAACGCATGCGAGGGCACTAGTCCTAAAGCATATAACGTTCTTTTATTGCTTTAAATGATCTATTTTGAAACGGTTATTCTGGATGCTTTTCAGAATTGGAAATTAAGAATCATAACTTTCAGGTATCAATAAGGTAATCAGGTATTTCTAAAATTTCGCAACTAATTTGGCACCTCTCCCGACCGTTTCCCTGAGGCTAGTCCTCACCCTTGTCCTGGCTCTGTCACTTGTGTTAATCGGGAAGTAAGACAGTTAAGTTACACTAGTGTCATGCCTTCTGTCTATATTTTTAAATGCACGCAAGTTCAAGAAAGCTCATGCGACAACATTTCTGAAACTGTGGTCCGCGAAACAAAAGCGGTCCTTCTGGATTTGCTGAAAAGGCCTTTAATTTCATCAGCAAGAAATAACGAAAGATTTTACATTAATTCTTGCGGTGGCATATATTTCGTTTGTATGCTTAAAACTAAATGAACTAAATCTCTGCAAGGTAATTCTTTGACTATTTTCAATGCCCATATATTTGTATCTCGAAACTCAATTTGAAACGTCACAATTTGTAATTCATTTTCTAAGTTATAAATATAACAAATTTTCATTGGTTCTTGATCCATTCCATTGCCACTTCGAAAATAACAAATTGTCACTGAATGAAACAGAAAAAATTATTGAACTGCCTATTGACACCGAACTTTACAGTGAAGTTTCAAGCAGAAGGTATGGTTAATTTTTGAACCTCTTTACCAATGAAAATAGAATATAGCGAATTCTACAATGGTGCTTTAAAAATTACGATTAAGGTTCCTTCTACGTCTGAGTAAGAAATGGTTTGCACTACTAACTCAAGTAAAAATAAAATATCGAAATCGACTAGATATGTGTGTCGATTTCAAACTTAAATTACCAGTATATATCCAAACACCGAACGCTGAGCAAGAACCGGCAAGTACATCCATTAATGGGAATACCAACATTTATTTATTTATTTTGCTAATAAGATAAGGATTATCCAAACTCTAACTGCCTTGAATTATTAAAAAGAAGCATTTTACTCTTCTATTAACTTAATACCGATATAAAACGAATTTTAACTAACTTTATTTTAAAAATATGTGTATACTGGTTGTAACATACGTTAAAAAATTGCTTTCGAAAGAAACAAGCGTAAGGTGGTGCGCAGAACATACTGATTTACGAAAGTTTGAGGAACACTGTGATAAAAATTTGATGTCAGCAAACAACTGCAGAGATGATCTGATAGCTACTGTCCATTTAAGCATTGCACGTAGGACGAAATTAGCAGCTTTTCAACTATTACGTACCTTGCTGCAAGTGAAAAACCAATAGACACTGGAGAATAAAGTGAGAGGATTTAGCAACTTGTTTTTTAGCAGATTTATGAATGTATTGTCCTTGGAGGCATTCATTTGCAAGAAGTTTTCACCAAGCAGCGAGATAAAAAAGAATGGTTAGCTGGTGGTTGCGCGTCGTAAATAAGAGGTTGCTCGTTAAAAATGGAGAATATTTGCGCATTATAAATAAATAAGACGATATTTACTTCTTGCAATAAATTCAAGCGTTAATAAGATGAAGGATTTATTAAAATTGATTGAAGTAAAGCATTTGGTTTCATTGAAACAAACATGAATGTCATATGTTTTGATTTCTATCAATCATGTGAGAAAAAGAAAATAATTTCTCCTATGTTTTTTGACTATCTAATCTTCGAACAAAATGCTATTTATCACTCTGACATTATACAATAGAATTATGAAATGTAGAAGTGTACTACTACTAAGCCACTGACAGAGCTCATGGGTTTTGTACCTGAGCTAAGAGTAGTCAACAAACTGTCAACCGTGACCGAAGCTGAAACCAAAGCTGAAAGGTGCATAACGTTTGCCATTGCTCTTCTGCACTTCTTACACTATTATACAATGCTATTACAGAATTCCTTATTATGAAATGATAGTATACCAATGCACATTATTATTTGCCATCATAGATCTGTACATACGAAAATCATACTTCCTGCAGGTATTAAAATTATTAGATTCATTACTGACTTAATATTAATTTATTCTATTCTATTACCGACAGTTTCAGCTGCATATTTCATTTTTTGTAATCTACCGTTATGCGTCGATTACCGTGATTTTGAGGTAATCACGGTAGTTATACCGATATTACGCCGGTTAATTGGGATAATAATGTCCATAGTATTATCCCGGTTAATCGGGAGTTGATTTAATTCCTTTTGCATGATTTATGGTGCAGCAGTTATAATAAATAGATGACATTTTAGACATCCATCCTAAAATAGCAAATGCACTGAATGCATTAGAACCGCGATTATATGAGTTAATGTGGACCAATGCTCAGAGGCGGATTTATGATGTCTCTCAAAGCGCAATGACAAGGAATCCCCAATCACTTTCCGAATTTAAAGAAAAGCATTGTTAAAGTTGTAGAGACATTAGGTTAATTGGAAAAGCCGGAGAGATGAAAAATGAGCAATCGCCTTCGCCGGGAATCGAACCACGGACCTCTGGAATACCAGCCCAGCGTGCAGAACCACTACTCCACGAAGGCAAGCCAGGAAGGCGGGAGAAATACATTATAAAGTGTAAAAAAATAGTGAAATATGCTGTGCCTTAAGAATAGAAACCTCCAAACGTTCAGATGATGTGAGCGACTGTCAAAATTGTTTCAAGTAACCGAAAATTTGAATAAAATGCATTTTTTATAGCTCTTTCGGACTAAAAATAGCGGATGCAAAAAATATCGCAGATTTAAGGCGTAAAGTTTCATTTAATTATATTTTCAATCTTTAGAGAAATCAACGTTGTATTAAAAATGATAAAATAAAATCTAAAAGGGCTCAGCTTTTAACGATCACCCGAAAGGCTCTAAAAGTTTAATATGGTTTATCAGTAGAGATTATCAATAGAGATAGTTCAGGTGGAACAGCGAAACATTTTATTGAATACTAGATGAATGTATATTGGACTAACTTCGGAACATTATACAGCTCCTTTATCCTTGAAAGTAAATATATATATGTAAGAAAAATAAAGAATACGTAAAAGATAAAAATTATAATTTAAATTAGCAAGGTAAATTAATTTCCCTTCAGTTATTCTAAATATAGTAATTTCTCTTTTCACTGCGTCATTTCGAGACTAATCCATGTCATATGACTCTTCCGTAATTCTGATGGTGGAACTAAAACACAAACAGCCAAAAATAACTTTGCAGCAGTATTAGTTATCCAATCAAAATGTATTGAGAACCAAAATTAACTCAATCTGAAGTAAGATACCATCCCGAACATACACACATATGCTCGCTACTGCTGTCTGCTGCTTTTTTTTACTGCAGAATTATCAAAAATGTAAACCTATTGAAATATGCACAAATAATGTGCCAACATTTTTGTGGCCGCAACATGTTTACTGAAATAAAATGAAGATTTAATGTGCCTCGGGTGCCAGTTTCCTATTCATTATGGGTTAGCATTCTACGCCATCAAACTTCTTGCTGTTCATTATAATTTCAACATTCTACGTTCTACACCATCAATATTGCAAAGTTCCTTTATACATATATATATATATACATATACATATATCATATAATATATATATATATATAATATATATATATATATATGTCATAACAAAAGCAAAGGAAAAGACGGAAGACTGTAGATGCGTGATTAGACCCATATTGAAAAAGATTTTGATTGCGTAGTCGAATGCAACTTGGTAATATCTAAAGAACTTGGCAGTCGAGGCAGTTTTAATTCCATGGCACTCTAATCGTGCCTTTCCACAGGAGATTTACATCTTTGATATTGTTGAGATAGAAAGCAAGCCAGCGAAATTACACTTTAGCACAGCAAAGAGCAAAAGCTGAAGTGCGTAGTTATGAAAGATGGAAGCACGGCGAAGAGAAAAAAGTTTTGGTTTACAATGGCACTTTAAGTTCCCAATTATTATGTCCTCAGAGCTGCGCGGGCCATAGAGTGATCTAGAAATGACGCAATGCAGAGAAGTTATTACGATTTTAGAATACAGAGGACGAATTAATGTTTATAGTTTAAAGTATAATTTTGATTCATATATTTTTATCTTACACACACATATATATATATACGTATTTTTATAAAAATATTTAGTGATTTCAGTTAAATGTAGTATGAATTAAACGCATTTTTATTTATATCAATCTGATGAAAAGTAATACTCTTAAGAACGCATCTATTGCTTTTAAATAGCTTAGTTTGTTAATATATAACATATTAATCTGAAAGATAAATATCTTACATTTTGGCGAATGGCAACAGACACAAATGAAAAGTGAAAAAACGCATTTAAAGCGAATTAGTCCAAAATCGTACTTTGAGACTAATAGGATTCTGGGCTAAAAATAAGCGTTTAGGCTTATTTTGGGGTTGGATTTTTTGTTATACAAATTAAACGTATAATTTTCAAATAAGTATGCGTTTTAGAAATAAATCTGCGATATTATAATTACAATTCCATGTGTGTGATTTGATTTAGGACTGTAGTTGAAAATAAGGTAACAGAAACTGACAACAAGCAACTCAATTTATACTACCATAAATATTGTTTAAATTTCCTGAACCAAAGTGTTTTCATTTTATAACTGTTTCTAGTTTTTCCGCACTGTTTCTAGATTTCTCTCCGCAATACTCTGCAGTCTCGTCAATGTAAAATTCTCGGAGATACAGATTCTTTCTATGTTTGGATTAACAAAAGTGTTGTTTCACTGTCATTTAAAATGTTAAAAAGTTAGATCTTCTGCGTACTTTCTATATGTCAGGATCAAAAGTAAAGAACAGAAAGATTTAAAACTAATGTGTCGCACATGGAAATATGTCTCAGATAGCCTGATTTCTAGACACTGTCATATGAATTATGAAATTTTTGTACACCATAATTAACCACGCCTTTGCAAACTGCAAAGTTACAGCAGCATCTAAAAATTTATACAGTGGATGAAAGAGTTAAATTTATTTCCAATTAGCTTAACATCTAGGTCAATGTAAATTTAGTATCCCTTTTCATTTAATAATTATACAGCTGTAAGGACTTTCTAAAATATGTAAATGCAAGTAATACATATATATAAATTTAAAAAACTTTTCTGACAATCGTACTAATCTAAAGAAGCTGGACATTCTAAGTATTTAAGAAGCAAAATTCAGTTTGTTTTGCGCTGCAATAAAAGAAAAAAAAAGCTGTTTCTGCAGTTTACATTTATATTATTTGAGGTATGTCTTTTTAACGTTTACATATCTATTAGTATACATATATTGTAGTGGTAGTAATAACTACTGAGCTACTTACTAATCGTAAGAGGGACCAAGTGTTTTTTCCTTTTCTAGAAGATTCTGAAATAATACAAAAATTATAAAATTAGATTTAAAATAGTATACCATCTTTTCGATTATGTCTAGTTGAGCATATATACAAAATTTCATCTATAATAACAAGTGTAAAAACAATTGCAACTCATATGATTAGATTTTACTAAGAAACATCACTAGACAAACACGAAAAGAAATGTAATGAGGCAAACGGGAGAGAAGGAAATACCCTACAAATGATTATCCTTGATATCAGAATCAGATACTGAAAATGCTTTTAAGATCATTCCAATTTCTTTTTATAGAGTTTAGGCAATTTACAGTAAACAGACCCCAATTTGCAGCATACTATTAGTTAATAAAGGTAACTATTAAATGGAAATTTACGTCTAAGTATTATCAACAAATTTTAATATAATATAAAAGTTGGACGAGTTTCTAAGGAAATACTTGCAAAGAATATATGCAGTAAAAAGATTCAAGTTTTACTTTTTTGGCTGTAGGACAGCGTCACTATTATTGTCTTTAAAATAAATCACAAAATATTAGTACCGTTGAAGCTTATTGCTGATTTTATTGTGATGTCCTCAAAATGTATCTGGAGAGAAAGAACATTATAATGTCAATTGCCTATATTATTTAATTAGCAGTATTTTAGGTTTCTTTGCAGGAGAAGAGAAAATGAAAGAAAGAAATGGCAACATTAACAAAATAGAGGCTGATCAAAAAGTGTCGAGAAATATTTAGGCAACTCTGAAATTTATGAGAGATGGGCAGATTATACGCGCTAAAAGAAAACTGTTTGTTAGATGTGTAAATTTGGATCCATTTATGCTCACAGACGATAGTTTGTGGCAACAGCTGCAATTTATCTATAGAAGAATAAATTTTGAAAGAAAGGAAAATGGAGTTCAGACAAAAGCATTATCGCGTTATAATTTTTCTGGGATTTTAAAGTTCCAGAATGCCTTCAATGTCTACATACAAAAAAATATACAAAGAAGTTGTACAAGAAATGTTAATCAATGATAATTGTTGTACCTATGAAATGATTTAAGAAGGAGCTTAACATTGGATCCGCATGTATGCACAAAATTCCATGAAAAACTGCATATGAAAAAATTAGTTTGCCGTTGCATCTCCCATAAATTAACAGAGCACCAAAACGCGGATCGTGTCTGAACCAATACTATCTTTTTTTAATGATGGAGGGTACCGCATATTTCCAAAAATTTTAACTGGTAATGAAATGTACATAACTTTTTTTTTATCGTTACAACAACTCAAGAAAGTAAAGTATGGGCTTTTAAAGATGAACCCAAATCAACAATGGGGGAAAAACATTAATTTGTTAGTATTTTAGGTTAGGATCTTTGCAGGAGAAGAGAAAATGAAAGAAGAAATTACAACATTAACAAACTACAGGCTTATCAAAAAGTGTCGAGAAATACGTAGGTAACTGAAATTTATGAGAGACGGGCAGACAACATGCGTAAAAAATAATGTATGCTGTTTTCTTCAAAAGCGTAGGACTGGCCAAAGCCATCAAGTTTCCAGGGACAGAAAACAATTATAGCTAATTGGTTCACCACTCAATGTCTTCCAGAAATATTTTAAGAAGTGAAACTTGGAAGGCTCATGATAAAGCATCGTTTCATTCAGCGAGACTGACTTGAATTTCTTGAACAAAAACATATTAAAATGACAGAAGCCACCTTATTATCCTCGTATGAGTAACTTTTGGCTAGTTTTTAATCTAAAACAAACATACGTGGCCGTCATTTACATTCTGAAGATCAGATTCATGAAACTATAAAAACATGTTTTTCATTGATTCCAAGAAACGGGTAGCGAGAAGCATTTAATTTTTGAAAAAACACGGCAAACTCCAAATATGCATTCATATTGGAAGAAACATATTTGCACACCACTAAGGTTTGATAAGTTTAACTTGTACCATTTAGCTGCATCTCAGAGACTTCAGATTGACCTTCGTATAAGTGAAAGAAAATTATGAAAAAGAGTTAAACAGAATTTTATTGCATGACCTCTGTATACATCAAGAGTAAGAAAGAAAGGAAATATCATTAATTTCATTACATGACTAAGTTCATATGTTATTCAAAACGAATTTACCGAAATTTTGATATTGAGGTATTTTTATGATTCTGATTCCATGAGAAAGCTTAATTTGCTCCATGCGATTAAAGATATTTTAGAAATATTTTAGAAATAAAGATTAGATTTTTCGAGCTATAAAAGGAATAAGAATATTTACCATCACTTATTGATAAGCTTTGAGTGGATCCATCGTAATCTGAAAAATAAATAAATAAAAAAAAACTTTAAACATAAAAAATGAAAGTTTATTTTTCTAAAAAAAATGTAAGTTTTTAAGCTAAAGTAGCAGTGCATTTACAAAGGTGACATCTAAAAATCTTAAATATAATCTTCGCAATAGGAACAAAAAGATTCTATCTCTTACTTATTTCATAAAAGGTTTAAGTATTTCTACGCACATTTATTATGAGCAAGATAAAAATCCTTTTATCTGCTCCTTAGCATGTTTCTGAAAACTAAAGTTCTTTTGCATTGCAAATCATACGATTATGTTTCTTTCCCCGGTGAATTGAAACAGATATTGCTTAGAGTAATGTAACTGTATCTGAATAATTCAGTACTGCGAGGAAGAAAAGTCTCAACTTTATTTTCTTCCACCATTCCGTGGCAATATGCAGGGTTTTTTAAATAAACAACAAGGATTTAATGAAGCTCTAAGAAGATTTTATCGTAATTACATAAGTGAGGGGCATGTACAAATATAACGCCCATCAAAAGTAATTTTTATATCTACTTATGACAATAATTTGTTTTACACGTATAGTATATATCACATTTACTCGTGCTTTTTCCTCCTCGCATATTCTCCCCTCTCCGTTTTTAGCACGAGGTTTAGAAAAGTTTCTCTTTGCTTTCCTAAATTTTAAAATGGCCTTTTCCACGCAGTGAATTTTTTCGACTTACTAATTGATTTTCTGGTGGAATTTGGGGGGGGGGGCATGGGCTCTGACTGATGAAGCAATAATACCAAAGAGGTTCAAGAAAACAAATGTATTAAATGTTCTTGATCCTGATAGAAATCATTGCACGTGGGAACATAGACTAAACGACGATGAAGACTATGATAACAGTGACGATAGCGATGACTTGCAACCTGTAGTAGACGAAACACGCAGCACACACAAACACCACTAAATGATTTGAGACTTAGGATTAGCAGCAGACAACAATAGCGGACCAGGTTGAAGATACAGAGAAGTAGGAATGAAGATATTTTATTAGATAGGTTAATGTTACTATTACTGTGTATTCGTAATGGAATGAAGACTTCTTTTAAATAAGTTACAGGCAGCTTATTCGTGAAATGCTTTTCATATTTTGCGTTCTTAGAGTAACCGACTCCTTTCGAAATTAAATTGCTCGCATAGTTTTTCCCTCTAAAATTTTATGCGATAAAATTAGGAGGGAGATGCATGAGTAAATTACGATAATTAAATGCCATATTAACTCATTCAATATCTCTGAATTCTTAAGCTTATTAAAAGGGTTTTATGCTAGAAATTTACTTCAATGTGTAAAGAATAAAGACATTCTTTCTTTGCGGGCTCTCATGGGGTTAAAGGATTAGCTCGTTCAAATACAGTCTGTTACTTTAAAATAGACATTTCAAGACCCTAGCAACCCTCTCTTCATTTACGATGATAAACATGAATTGTCATCAATGCAGGGAGGGGAATAGGGAATTTTAGCAAATTAGAGGACTCAATAGCCTTCCTTAGTAATCGCTACCATGTTTACAAGGCAAGTCAGAAAAGGAAAATGACCTTGAAGTGCCTATTCCGAAGTAACAAGCAGATGATCTCTGTTTAAATACAGTTGAGTTTTCACATTTCATGTTTCCAAAAATATAATAGTCTATAAAAATACCTGTCAATCAGGGCTTTTGAACAATTATTATTTTTTTCAGATGCTTACGGTTATATAGAAACTTCCTTACTTATTAACGGAAAAGTCTAGTTTTAATTAAAAACACGTAAATTTGGTTCTAGACAGGCAATTTTTTCCAACTTAATTCCCATTTCGCATTTGAGTTGTTTGATTATCCGTACGTCTTAATTTTCTTAGATAATGAACGGATAATGCAAAACAAATGCATTGTTAATTTATATAAAATTCTTTCGCAGTGCATAATGAAGGTCTAAATCCTCATTCTGCATAATCAATCCATATATTTAAACTACAAGAAACGCTAAGAAAACTTGAAAAGCCTACAGATAACAAAAGTATCTAATCTCTTTCTGTATAAATTGATAAATGAAAGCATTAATTCGAGAACACCCTTAACGTGCATTATTTCAGAATCATTAAGCTTCTGTTTATTCACCGTTTTAACAGCAGCATCTTTGCCATGCAAAACACTAGTCGGCATCATAGATTTATCAGACGAAGGTATCATTAGGAGGTTCCATTAGCTTCATCAATATTGTTCTCCGGTGAATGGTTGCACAATCAGTGTTTACCATTTCCAAAGTTACAGTTTCAAAGGTCTTCAAATGTGACTCGCTGAAACGCAGAAGAGGGGCGACATCTTTTACTATTAATGCACGTACTAATGATTCATTGAAATAATAAGTTACATATTTTCCCTCATCTCACGTATTTGGACGCAACTATACAATCTACTTTCATCTGCATGTAAGAATAAGTAAATTTCATATGCATGGATGGGAAGGACAACGCGAGATCTTACAAGACTTAGCAGTTAATTTTCATATGTGAAATCTAAGATGAATCAGAATGATATCAGAATTCGATTCCTAATACCATTGTGATATTTTGCATTCCAGAAATCTGCTTTTTTATAATTTCGGTTGAAGTCAAAGAATCTGGGATTTACCTGACTTTTGTTATGATTAATTCTTTGCTAATAGGAAGAGTTTTACTGGTGTAAAGGTTTCACCGTAAAATGCTTAGAATTTCGTCGGGAAACGTAATTTAGAGAGAAATACAAAAAAATTGAGAATTGCACTTGCGTTTTCTATAAACCATCATTTCAGTCTCTACGATCTCTGATTTCTAGAATATGATATTAAAGTTTTGTTGAAAAATAACGAAAATAAATAATAATAAAATATAATCTATGATATAGGAAATAAATAGTAATTCTAATTGGTCGACTGAGGATTACCTCTTTTCCTTGTCGCATTTCAAATGAGGGAATTTAAGGCAATTAAAAAAAATATGGGAATATCTCACATAGTCCGGCTTCGATTAGTCTAGATTGACCGATTAGCCCAGTTTGAAAATTTCAGCACAAACTAAATTTTAATTCAGCAAAATATAAATAATAGATGATTGAGAATGATTTAGAAATAATACAAAGGCTTGATTTTCAATATATAAACGATCGGGTTTTCACTTAACGCAATACGTTTCACTTTTTTCTGAGGTTTCCCGTTATACACATTCGTTCTTGAATTCAGACAACAATCTCTTAAGGAAGTGGAGTCACTTTAGCGGGAACTGAACAATTGTGATTGAGGGCATCAGATCGAACACTAATGAATTTGATAATGAATAGTATTTGTCGCATAGATGAATAACGGGATTATGAAGAAGGGGGTAAATAACAACGACGACGAAACTGTGTTGGAAAGCACACACGAGAGTTCTCAAGTATTACTAAAATAACTGAAACATTAACAGAGGTTATTACATTAATTCATGTCAATGCTAAACGTAGACTTACAGTTCATCATACAATAAACAATGTAATTCGTTACTACAAATTAGATTTGGACGATCCACTCCATAAGTGGGTTTATTCTGACTCGAGAAAATGGAATTGTAGCTCTTTTACAGTTTATGGACAGTTATTGATGGAAGCGCGCTAGAAACAGAGATCTACTATTATCATGAACTGATTCAATTTTCTGAGAAGGCGAACGACCGATTTCCGAAAAAATGTCAGAACGAAGTTTGAAGTGTGCCAGAAAAGTTCAATTCTCAGTTTAGAGGAGAAAATAATGATTATTCTTCCGTGTTAAAAGTGAGTTTAATTTTTATGATTTACCAAATGTTTGAGAAATTTTTATTCTAGAACTTCATTACTAGTTCTGTGCAGAACGAGCTTTTAGGTAATCCCAAAACTACAGTTAAAAGAAATCAGTTCAGAGAGTTGGCGTTTGATTCTTCCGATCCCATGACTCACGCGGTTCTTTTCGGTCTTCGCTCCAACCCCCTCCCGTTAACTAGTTCGGATCCCGCTGTTCCTTCGAGTCTTTCCGCTCTTCGTCAATCCTTCCGAACAACTCTTGCTTTACCTCTCATTCCAGATATTTTTCACCAAGGGTATTGTTGTTAGTGAGCGGTGAGTCATAAAAAAGAACCGATTCATTTCAGTGAGTGAACGGTTCTGATCTGATCCCATAAATGAGTAATTTTGTCCATCTCTATTACAAACAGAAGTATGAAGAGAAAAGGCCAGAAAAAAATGGCCAAATATTGATATTGCAGTTGTTAGAGAATAAAAAACGAATTAAGAAAAACGTGCTTTTTTGAAAAACAGCATTGATTTGAAGAACAGACGATATAAAAAATAGCAAATAAAACGGTGTTTAATGCAATTTGCATATATTTTGAATTACGAGTTTTGTGGAAAAGGAAGCACGACGTAAATTACTAAGCATTTGGGAAATGGTTGGTGCAAAACGGCACTGTTAATCAGACGAGAAACGTTGCAAAAAACAGCTCTTGTGGATGGATATCCTTCTCACAAAAATACTCAGATCCAGAAGAGTTACGGAATGTTTCGAGAAACATACGCGTTTCAAAATAGAGTTATTAAAAGAATATTTTAAACAAATTAAATAAACCAGGATCGAAGACTGGAGTTTGTTAGCAGTTATTTAAAAAGACCAAGAATTATGAACATTTGTAATTTTTGTTCTTGAAAGCAAATTTCTTGTTTATGGCTGAAAAACGACCCAAACGTTAGGTAAACCAGACGTTAATCAAAGCAGAATACTGACTTTCAAGTAAGAATTCATTATGTCACCAAAGGCCTGTGCCAAAGCCCATGAAACCGTGGCGATGTTGTCGGGCGGCAGAATTTTTGTAACTTACAGAAGCATCAAGCAGCAAAATTTTGGGATGGCAAAACCTTTAACATTTATGGGAGCTACTGAGCAGCAGTATTCAGCGGCGGCAAAAGTTTTAGAATTTAGGAAGGCAACGGGCAGCAGAATTTAGATTTCA